AAGTCGGAGTCGGTGCTGGCCTTGAGCTTGTCGAGGGTTTCCTGCAGCGCAGTATACTTGTCGGCGGCGGCGGAGATCTCGGCAGCAGTATCGGTTTTGAGCTTGGTGTGGTCGCTGTCGAGGGACTTGAGCTTGGCCTCAACGGCAGACATGGCTTCTGTTTTCTCGGAGAGAGACTTGGCGGCGGCGTCGGCGTCGGCCTTGAGCTTGGCGAGCTCCTCGCGAAGGGAGAGCTCGAGAGACTCCTGCTGCTTCTTGGCCTCGGCGAGCTCCTGCTTCACAGTGGCAAGCTCATCTTCGAGAGTCTTCTTGTCCTCTTGAGCCTTCTGCAGCTGGTGTTCGAGGGCGGCGAGCTGGTTCTTGACATCGTTGAGCTCCTGGGCGCTGGCGGCGGTGGCTTCATCGCCAGCCAGAGACTGAGCGGCTGCCTTGTCGTTAGTTGCAGCAAGCTCAGACTGGAGGTGAGCGATCTTGGCGTTGCTCTCCTTCTGGGCGTCGGTGAGGTTGTTGCTCAACTCCTGGACCTTCTTCTGGAGATCCTCAGCCTCCTTGGAGACGAGGGTGTGCTCCTTCTCCTTCTTCTGGAGGTCCTCCTCGAGGGCGGTGATGGTCTGTTTCTGGTCGGCAATTTTCTGCTCAAGGTCGGCTCGGTCACCGTCGGTCTGCGGGGAGGAGAAAACGTTGCCCATGATGGAGTCGCGACTAGGTGTTCTGGTGACCTGAGATTCGGAATGCAAACAACACGAACTTTCTTCAGGGTGCAATGCGGCGCGAGAGGGAAATTGAAGAATTGGAAGGTGGCGGTATGCAGGCAAGACCCATGGACCAGAGGAGGGCCAGCAGAATGGAGGAGGACGACAAGCAATAGGACGAACACCTCAGGAAAGGCGGTCAGCCGTGCACCTACACTGCTACCCCACTGCACCTCACTTTTCTAACGACCGGGGTCTGTCTTTTCTTTCCTCCTTCATTCGATTCTTTCTGCTTCTCATCGTGGGGCAAGTGCAGAACACACATAATTCTTGCGTGGTGCGTCGTGCTCCCGCCCAACGCAACCGCCGGGCCAGTGAGCATGGTGTTCGCTCAGTGATTAAATGAGGGTCTGGTTTTTTTTTTTTTTTGGCCCGAGTGGACAGACCGGTGGACCCCTGTATCAGCTCCACCAATCGCGGCCAATAGCTCCACTAGCTCCAACGTTGCCCAAGGCCCTGCTCGCCAATAAGGAAAGCGGACGTTTGGCAGCAAAGTCGTATCTACAGCCAAATCACAGCAAAAGGGTACTTGATGCTTTGTTGGCCTGAGGGTGATAATCGGGCTCCCAGGCACATTATGGAAATTTGGCAGGTGCGAGAGACGTGGAGGGCTCTCAATGGTTTGTTTTTATGTGCCGCTGCACGCCGATTTTTTCTTGTCCCCGGTCCCCTCGTCGTCATTTCTGTCATCTGCTGGATTCCGCTGGATGTACTTATCGTGTCGCCTCTTCTAGGAAACAGAAGAATCAGTATTAACTTTGAGTGAGGGAGGTATGGCACGCAGGTGCTGCTGCATTTGTTCGTCAGGAGCATGTGACCACGGGCGATAAGCGCAGCGAAGAACACGGGGGGAACCTGATAATGGCGAAGAAGAGTCATCGAGGGGAACCTGGCTCAGCTTTCAACCTCAGGCTCACATTCCAGCTGCCTTGGCTTTAAGGCGGAAAAAGTACCAATCTTGCATGAACGATGAGTTGTCACGGTTACCCTACTTCGTCATTCTCTCCTCCCGCCCGGTCGCCCCGTTTCAATGTTGACTGACAGTTTAAGAGAGGAAGATTGCATAAAAAAAAAAGAATTGAGGGGGGGAAAAAAAAAAAAAAGGGCCCGGTCGCCTCACCGACAGACCGAGCCAATGAGTTCCTGTCACCGCTTGACGATTAGAGCTCGCGGCTTAACGATGACGGCGACATTGGGTCGGTCTTGCCATTCGCTGTGGAAAATGTGTCGCGAACACTCGCAAGTAAAATCACATTTTCAACTCCGTCCACCGCCGCCTTGCCTCCTCAATCCCTCAAACAAACTTTTGCCCCTCCCCCCTCCCCCTCCCCCTCCCCCTCCTGCTCCCTCCAACCACTCTGCNCCTCCCCCTCCCCCTCCCCCTCCTGCTCCCTCCAACCACTCTGCATCTGGCCCCTCTACAACTTTGCGCAGGGCTTTCCCTCGGCTGGGCAAAAGGCGTCTTTGGAAGAGCGGTCAACGTTGACTGACGATGGTGGGACCCACATCGCAGGGTTCTTCTGGAAAAAGTTTGATGCGCGCAGCGTCACGCTCACCGGCTCCGCTGGCATGATCGGGAAGTCCTCCGTCCGCGGGAAGTGTGTCAGACCAAATTGGATGTAGCAAACAATGTCCCTATTCTCAATCGGCTCATCGCGTGCAACCCAATCCGCAATCGTTGTGTTGTGCGGGTGGTTCTCCTCTCCCCGTGACTGGCAAACGTAGTCTCCCGCGGGGAAGATCTCGTAATCCCTGTAGGGCACAACCCACAAGCTCTTACGCGCAAAAGCGGCTCGCTTGAAGACCATACTACCTGGCTTGGCAAGGAGCGTCGGGCAGTTGTTGTTGATTATCTTGTACCCTACTGGCTTTTTGGCTGAAGGATTGATCCTGTTCGGGTTGATGATGCTCCATGCCCGGCTCGTCTCGTGGCAGTATACCGCTGCCCCCTCCTTGGCCGTCCGCAGAGGAGTGTTCTTGCAGTAGAACCCGTTGCCATAGAGGTTCTCTGGGGATCCTACCGGTGCCTCCAAAGGCAACGAATCGCTTTGGAGAACTGAGTTGCTTGGTCCGTCGAGTTCAGGGTCAACCCTCAATGAGAAGATGTGCTGGTGGTTATGGGCATTGAGTCGAGGGGCAACTTCGGTTCCAAATGGCGCTGCCGTCTCCGTCGGATGCATGCAGTATGTGTTGAGCATACCCGTCAACTTCATCTCTAACTTGTACGTCCCATCCAGTGTGAAGATATGAAAAAAGGCGTATTCGTAATTAGCCGCCGTGATGATCTGCGAGATAATGAGTTTTCGATCACGGGCCGAGATAACTTTGCCGTCGCGGAAATCTGTGTGCTTATACAGGAGGCCATTATCCTCCTCGTGGATGCAGATAGCATTCTTGACCATGGCCGGCTCGCCTCGAGCTGTAGTCATGATAGCATCCAGGTAGTGGATGGTACCCTTGCAGTCGCATCCAAGCTTAAGTGAATTTGTCATGAGACCACTGCCGTATTCTCCAACATCGAAAGCGTGTTTCTTGTGGTGAGGAGGATCTGGGTTTCCATATGGAACAACCATTTCAACGACGCTGATGCGGTTGAACAGAGCACGATCGCGTTGCTCATATTGATCGTGCATTCTTACATCCGAGATGACGATGCCCTCGCGGTAATTAAAGCCGACGTGCATCTTGTAACCTGCCCAAGACAACTCATTCCCCTGCATGTCGAAGGAGACACCCTGAGGCTGTATTATGTCGAGGGGTTTCAACTTAGAACCATCATACGCATTCTGGACGAACTCAGGCAGGTAGTTGTGCTCCTCGAGCGGAACCTTGGTTCGCTCACCGTTGACGTGCCGGACATCGATGGCCAAGATCTCCTCAGTCTCAGTGTCCACAACCACGGAGAAGTCGAGAGGGTGCGCATACTGATTGTCCAATTGCGAGTTGCGGTAATACGGTAGCCCCTGTTGAAGGCGACGTTCAAACCCCCAGCGGTGGTCAAAGCCAATGGCCCAAGCATCAAAGTACACCTTGGACATGTCCGTTATGCCAACCTCGCGACATAATTGAACGATTCTGGAGTCTTTTCGGGCAATTCTCTCCGTGACGTCAAGGTCCTCTAGCGTCAAAGTAGGAGCTACTTCAGCCACAGCCTTCCAGGACTCAACCTCCAACGCCGTGAGGTTCGCGATGACCTCTGCACACTGGCTAGTACCTTTCTTTAGCACAATGGCGAAAGCACGGCGTGGGGGCCGAGGGCCCTTGCCTGCACGGAATGCAGAATAGCAACCCTTCTCCGGTTCTCTTAAGGTGAGGCAATTGAACTTCAGCGCGTTTAACTTGGCATGAGTTCGGATGAGCTTCGCCGCGACCCGGATTTCATCTACTGACAGCGGATCTGAGCGACGTGCATTAGCTTAAAGTTCCCCAAAATAACCCGAATCGATACGACGACAAGGGACCTCCCAGGGTTGTACAACCTACCAAGAGGATGCCCGGGAGGTTTCGCCGACAGATCAGGGATCGCATCTGTGGCCTCCTCCTGAAAGATCGTGTACCCGGGGAGGGACGAGCTGTCTTCAATCATGGTTGATGCTTTGACGGCAGAAAAAATGACAGACTACCAGCTTCCTGTGAGCTTGTTGGTGCATAGACTACGTATGGATGAGAAGGAGTGCAGTGAAGCTTTGTGGCCATTTATATACTTGACACACTCGATCCATGACTCTCATTTACGTAAACGACTGTCTCATGAAAGCCTTCCTTCGGATCTCATCGGCGAGCTTCTTCAGTCGTTTCGCAGTCTGATCAAGACCCAACACCTCTGGCGCGGGGAAGACAAGGATGGTTGGTCCAACATCCCTTTGCTGAGTCGATCGACCAGGACCGGCCTGTTCCGACTGAAATGCAAGTCCCCGTCGCATTCACGATCAAGTCCGCTTTGCTACATATGAACTTATCCGAAAGCTTCGTATCTCTTCCAGGGCTGTGATTTCTATTATGTATCATGTATAGTCACATTTTCCGGGTCACATTGTCCATGGTGGATAAGATATGAGGTGTGAAGTCTGGAGTAAGGGGTAGACAGAATAATATAAGAGTCCAGCTGCCGTGGCGCCAACAACAGCAGACTCACCATCTACAAGCTATCGACCGAGAATGCACACACGGAAACCACAAAACGAGACCAATCCCCTTCTCCTCCCGCTGGGTCAACAGCACCAGTCCACCTATATCAGCTATCACACAATGGATCCCGAATTCGGCTCAACACTCAAACATGCACCAACTCAAGATAAGGACGCATACGACTTGGCTGATATGGGACATTCCCAGGCCATGAGCCGCAAGTTCGACACTTGGAGCATGCTTTCGCTTGCCTTCGTGGTTTTGGGAACATGGTCGGTATTCGCGCAAAGTTTGGCAAGCGGCCTGATGAACGGCGGCCCTATCGCGATCCTTTGGGAGTTGTGCCTAGTTGCTGCTTGCAACATCTGCATAGGCCTTTCCCTTGGAGAGCTCTGCAGCAGTATGCCGACAGCTCTAGGCCAGGCTTACTGGGTCTCACAACTTTGGCCCACCGCTGCTGGACGCTTTTTCTCCTACCTCTGCGCATGGATCAACACCTTTGGCTGGTGGACGTTATCGGCATCCACGATCGCGTTCATGACTGAGTTCATCTTGGGTATGAACCTGCTCTTCGACCCGAGTTGGCCCCCGGCGTCGAAAGGCTGGGTGCAATTCTTAGTATACCTAAGCATAACAGCTCTGCTTACAGCATTGAATGTCGTGGCCTGCCGCAAAGACAAGGTTCTGCCCATGTTCAACAATTTCATCGGTATCACGTTCGTCGCCTTGTTCTTCATCTTTGGGTTGGCCCTTCTCATATCCGTTGGCGTAAGAAACGGCCTCGAGTTCCAATCAACATCCTTCGTCTTCGGGGCATGGATCAACCAGACTGGTTGGGCGGATAGCATCACCTGGTTCATGGGGCTTGTTCAGGCAGCTTACGGCCTGACTGCCTTCGATGCGGCAATTCACCTTGTCGAAGAGATTCCGGCTCCAAGAAAGAATGTCCCAAAGGTCATTTGGCTTTCAATTCTTTGCGGTGCGGCTACGGGATTTATCTTCATGATGATCTGTCTTTTCTGTATTCAAGACCTGGACCAGATACTTGACCCGTCTACCGGCCTTCCGTTCATGGATCTCGTCAAGAGCACTGTTGGTCTCGAGGGGTCGGCAGTTCTTCTCGCCCTCTTCATCGTCAACGGTCTCGGCCAAGGAGTGACGGTCGTCACCACAGCGTCACGACTGACATGGGGTTTCGCTCGCGACGGTGGTTTACCGTTCGGTGTTTACTTCGCCCATGTTGACGAATACTGGAAAGCTCCCGTCCGGGCTCTGTGGATGCAGGGTGCGGTTATCGGCTTGGTCGGCGTCCTGTACACCTTTTCCAACACTGTTCTAGAGGCCATTGTTGGCGTCAGTACCATTGCCTTAACAGTCTCTTACGCCATGCCTATCTTGACCCTTCTTATCGTGGGGCGCGACAAGTTACAACGCGGGCCATTCAGCCTAGGGAGACTTGGGCCTGTCGTTAACGGGGTCTCCCTTGTCTATTGCGCTGTCACTACTGTTTTTTTCTTCTTCCCATCTGAACCGAAGCCTGCGCCAGCAGATATGAATTACGCAATCGTCGTCTTTGGAATTATTGTTGTCTTTAGTCTGAGCTTCTGGTTCATCCGGGGCCGCCAGACATATCTGCAGGCGGACGAAATATCAGGCCAAGTCATCTACGGAGCGCCCGCTGAGGTAGCGCAAGAAGGAGGTAATGTCAATCTAAAGGGGAAATGAGTTTTGTCCTCCATTAGCCCTCATTTCGAGCGTCAGTGTTATAGATGTATACCCAACAAATTAGCGACCGCAATTCTTTTCTCGTTCGTAAAACACCTCCGCCGCCGTCACGCTATCTCATGTAATGGGTCAAGATAAGAAGATCACCGGCTCCAGACAGCTCTCTGGGATGAGAATTTGCATGTATCGGGGTGATAACGGCGGCTCTTTCTGGGGGGTTCCTTGAAGCTTGCTGCGTCGCCATCCGATCTGCGGAAAGGGGCTCATGGCTCCCCAGATGCCAAGCCACTGGCAAAGTCGGTAAGCGTCTTGGCCAAATATCTAGCCGTGCTAGGATTAGCGCTGGTAAGACACCCCCAGAGAGCTTGGCCATCGAGCTAGCTGTTTCAGGAATGGAGGAAGGGAGTGTTCTGCGGCCCGTGAGATCTCCATCTCGTCTCCGGACTGTCCGCTTCTAATGCGACTCCAGTACACTGATGACCTGACGTCCCTGTTAATGCACCCGATAAACTCGGTCATGGCCGATTCAATCCTCCGCTCGAGTCAAGAGGACGAGGGGATGTCTTGTTGCACTGAGATATCAGCCACATCGCACCTACTTAGACACGTATTGGACTACACTGCCACAGCCTGTGAGGCGAAACTTGGGTTTGATACTGCGCGCGTCTGTGTTGCGATGCCGGCGGCGGCCGTCGGCGAGGTTCCTATCTGAGTTCCCTAGCACGCATACGTCTTGTTAGTTAGCAGTCAAAAAATCTTGTTTCATGCTATTCACTATGCTTCATTGTTTAGACCTCACGAAACCCGCTGCATATTGACCAATTCCAAGTTCAGATTACGTACTGTCCCCTATACTAGTATCCTGAGTTGTTGAGGACTAAATGGCGAGGGAAACTTCCTGCGACTTGCGTGGAACAAGATCTTCTTGAACGCGTGCAGCTTTCACAGGCGCCGAGACCAGGAGATCATTTGGGCCTCGCTTGATTTAGACCATTGCCAGCCAAGTCTGCTTCACTCGCTGTCTACTACCAAATTGGCATTCGACGCAGGATTTTATTCGCAATTTTGGTACAATCGACAATCGATGCCACTTTGTTGCCGAGAATGGCATCTAAGATAAAGAACGACGGACTATTCCGTATTCATTAGCGTTCCTAAACAGGGAATCTGAGCATCTTCAGCTCGCTAATCAACCCGCGCTGCCCACTCAGCAACGAGCACACAACTTTGCAGCTTTCAGGCCCACGCCACTGATAGTTTTCGTTTTGAGATGGAACTGACTTGTGTGGATGCCTCTCGCTTGTTCTTTCAACTTACTTTTCTCTAACTCAGTGTTCGACGAGCGATGTCAGTTTGGCTAACTATCTTGTTTAGTCGCAATTGAGACGTCTGTGGAAAGTCAGTTCTTCTCCTCCGTTTGATTAGGCATGCCGCAATGTTCCCGGTTAAGCCGACGCCCGGTAAACCTCGGCAATGCCTGAATCGGTATGCCGGCGTAAATCTCAACGTCCTCAGGAAAATATAGCCTTCCCGTTGCGACTACCCCTAAAGATGAGAGTGACCTCGCAATTGCAGCTGACAATATACATCTAGCAACAATGACAAGTTTGATTCCTCCCACAATGATGGCTTGGCGTAAGCATAGAGGAAAGCCACAGCCAGTAACTAAACCCGCCTACTATACGGTGTCAAACTGAGGGATAACAGTGGATCAGGTTTGGGAAGAAATTCCTGTGCCTCAAGCACCTGCAAATGGTGTTTTGTGCAAGATGTTGGCTTCAGGCGGTGAGACCTTTTCTATTGCTCTCATTTTAAGTACCACCCGTTGACTGGAGCGCTAAATCACAGTCTGTCGGAGTGACCAATCGCTTCTTGCAGTTGACAAACAACCTCACTGGTTTCAACCGAAGTTCACTTTAGTATTGGAAAATTACCCCCTTCCCAATTCATCACCTATGACTTACTTCATTCTAGGGTCATGAAGGCTGCGGGCAAATCGTAGAGATAGGTGATCAAGTTAAAGACACTCGGTTCAAAATCGTTAGTCTCACTGCTGGTTTTCTTTAGCTCGTCTGCTAATTGGAATATAACTTCACAGGGCGATGTTGTTGCTTTGAATGCAGTTCCTGGCTGTGGCTCAAGCCATTGTGCAGAGTGCTCTCGCAACATGCAGCAGCTCTGCGACGTCGGTCATCACTCTGGGATTGGACAAGATGGCTTCTATGCCCCTTACGCCGCAATCGACGTCCGTGGCTTAGCCCATGTGCCCAAAGGTGTATCTCCTGAGGTGGCAGCGATAGCCACAGATGCCGTGGCAACAGCATATCATGCCATCTACAGGCGTGGTGAGGTCAAGCAGACCGAGACAGTTTTCTTATTTGGACTGGGAGGACTTGGTTTCAATGCTCTTCAACTCCTCCTAGATATTGGGACACGAGTCGTTGTGTCCGATATCAGGCCGGAGATTCTCGAGGAAGCAGCTGCAATTGGCGTTCCAAAGTCAGATTTAGTTCCAGTTGGAGAGCCTGTGCAAAAGTTCGTCACAGACAAGGGCTTGACTGGTAAGATTGACGCCGTCCTGGATTTTGTGGGTACTCACCAAACGTTCGAGGACGCACAGCAGATTGGTGAGTCAAATTTCCCCTACATTATTTCTCTAATTTTTACACATGGGAGCTCCGCTAAAGCAAGCCTGAAGTTCGTCGCGGGGGGCGATTGCTATGCATTGGCAGTCTTGATGCTGAGAACACCGTGCACATGAAGATTGGCACAAGGAAGCGCCTCACTTATATATTCTCATATGGAGGGCAGATTAGCGACCTTGAGGAGGTACTGCAGCTGATTGCTAACAATAAGATTAAGCCACGTGTGGAAACAGCGAGGCTGAAAGACTTTCCTCGCGTTTTGGGCCGTTTGGAGAAAGGCGAAGTCAAGGCACGCATTGCACTTTTGCACGACTGAATCAATGGGAGACAGTCACGGCGTACCTAGCAAAGTCTGGTTTGAATAGCTTCGAAAACATCATATCATTCCAAATTGACATTTCTGCAAAATCATAAGGAAATCTCAACCATTAACGCTGGCAGCTTTTACCATTCCAATGCCAACAGCTGCGGTAGTTCCAGCATCGACTGGAAGAATAACACCAGTCATCCAACGTGCATGATTGCTTGCGAGAAAGACAACCGCACATGCAGCATCCCATCCGTTACCTTCTGTGCCTAAAAGGCTTCTCTGTTTCCTTGCGGCTCTTGCCTCTTCACTCATTCCGCCAGCATACATCATGGGGGTATATAACATCTGACCAATATTAGCAAAGATGTTGTGAATCTTGGAGTGTGTGAACATACGCCAGGGCAAACGCAGTTGACACGAATACCATCTCCAGCATGATGCGCCGCCATTGCTCGTGTCATATTGACGATAGCGCCCTTGCTCGTCGGGTAGAGCAAGTGCGGCGTCCCTCCCTTCAATCCCGCGACACTGCCCATATTGACGATTGCCCCCTTGATTTCACCCTCATTTTTCTGCATGGCAGGAATCGCGTATTTGGCCATCAAAACCATACTAGAGACATTGACGTCGAGACTTTTGGTCCATTGTTCCATATCAACTTCGACCGCAGTACCTGGTGCACCGGCAACACCCACATTATTGATGAGAATGTCAAGTCGACCAAACTCGAATATTGCTTGCTGAACAACATTTTGGCAGTCTGTTGACGATGTGACGTCTCCCTGTATTGGTATTGTCTTCCCTCTGCCGGGCTTTAAGTTCGCAATCTCGCAGGTCTTGGTTGCCCAAGAGAGGTCCCGATCCACACAAATGACATTGCAACCGTCGTCAGCGAGTAAGATGGATATTGCGCGACCGTTCCCGATCCCATCTCCCGCGCAACCTGCACCTGTGACTATAGCGACCTTCCCATTGAACGAACGTGAGGGAGGGTTGACTGAAATTTCCGACATGGTCTCAATCTCTGCAGGGAAGCTAATGTAACAGGGGAAGAGGGTTGCGATTGTTGCTAATCACAGTCAGAATCGTCGGCTGAAGTCAGTTCTTGATACCATCGACTTCATGTAACATATCGGATTTGTGACATTGCGATACTTTCATCGGCATTCCGGGTTACCGATTTTGGAAAGCCTGGAGCCCACGGCATGCTCGGTTCCGCAAAGCAAAGCCGAGGTTTGTAGAGGCACAGATGCCTCAATGGCTGATGTAAGCTCTTTCGGAAGCTGCTTCCCGCGACTAATGACGAAGCCAGTCGATCTACCCCTCTTTCTGCCGGTGACTAGGAGAGGAGGACTGAACAACGGGCCATTGATAGGGCTTCGATTAACGCCAAAGATCAATCCTGTTTTGATGATCCCAGCTAACATCGCGTTCACTTCTCAAGTCTCGGTTCCATCCACTTCAGCTTTCCAAAAATCCTTGTGAGAATCTTACATTGGAGCAGGTGCTGCTTCCCCCAGCATCTGCATCGTATACTAGGAAAGGAGCTCAAGAACACTTGGATATACAATGTGCGACTTTTCTCAATACGGTGGCCCGAGCGACGAGTGGCTTGCGGTGGAAGCAGGCTTACCACCCGCACCAGCCGAGCTATCTGTAGCAGAACGCAAGAGCACAACCAATAAAGTACGCGAAGAGATGTCCCTTGAGGCAATGAAAACGATGGCAGGCCACGTTATTGTACGGAACTGGACAATCCCAACTCGTGATGGGTCTACCATTGAAGGGCGAAGTTACCGCCCGAAGGCAGCAGGTGAGGGCCCGATGCCTGTTTACCTTTACCTACACGGAGGGGGCTTTCTCTTCGGTACGATCAACTCAGAGGACGCTGCCTGCTCTCGAATCGCTATAAGCACAAGCGTCTTGGTGGTCAGCGTCAATTATCGTCATACACCTGACTTTATCTACCCAACAGCTTGGAATGACATTGAGGACGGGTTTCAGTGGCTGCATGCAAACATCGCCGAGATCGGCGGCTGTCCCGAGAAGGTAGTCGTGGGCGGTATTTCTGCCGGGGGCCAGTTGACCGCATCTCTCACCCTATCCCAGCATCTTGGTCATTTTGGCAGCAAAGAACTCCCTCTAATTGCCGGCCAAGTATTGATCATTCCTTGTCTGGTTAACCCGGACTGTTATGGCGGCCATTTGAAGCGACTCAAGCATCCCGCGGTTTCATCCTATGCTGAAAACGAGAATGCTCCGATCCTTCCCAGGAGGATGATTGATTTGTTTGTTGGGTTGCTGAGAATCGAGAAGCCGGACTACTACGATCTCAGGCTCAATCCTGGAAATGCATCCACGGGGCAATTGAAGGGAATGCCGCCTACAACACTTGGAATTGCTGGCTTGGATCCGTTGAGAGACGAGGGTTTACTGTACGCCAAATTACTCACCGAGTCAGGGTAAGTTCAACCTCTATGCCTCTGAATGTAGGTCCACTAATCCGCCTCGCCAGAGTTCCCACCGAGACGCATATCTTCAGAGGAGTCCCCCATGGATTTCGCCGATTCGGGGACAAGCTATCCGAGTCGAAACATTGGGACAATGTGACTGACTATGGTATCAAGTGGGCATTGACTAAGCCGACCGCATCTGGACATTTTGTTATCCATGAGGCTTGAAGTTCTGTGGACACTGCGAGCTAAGATGCCCGTTTATGGGCCTCTGCTTTCTGTATTATGGGCTGAATCAAACATGATATTTCACCCGAGTTGAGAGGTTGCCAAACAACCAGAAGTTCGAAACTTCCAGTCTAAGAAATTGTATCCTTGATGATCGCATGAAAACTATCGTATGAGGAAGTCAGAATATTTCCTCGCTTTCACTTCGTCGCATCGTTTTCGATACCCAGGTGCCGGTCCATTGTATCTTGTCATGGACCGTTGCTGCTTGTGTGCTAAATTTTTGTTGACTCCTGTCATCCATGAGTCCACCTCATTAGCCAGCAGCCCCTCCCCGCACTTCCAAACATGCTCTGTCCACATGCGCATTCCTTCGTCAGTAGCTTCGACGGAGGTAATGTTCTTATCTCGCGCATACCGAATAAAGTCTGAAACCCAATCTACGGCGTATTCGATGCTTCGAGGGATGTTGCCAAACATCTGATGTGGGCCCATGATCATAAACATATTGGGAAATCCTTTCACGGTCAGTCCCAGATAAGTTTGAATGCCGTCACTCCAAACGTCATGAAGCTGAGTGCCGCCAATGCCCCGAAAGTCCACCGCCCGAAAGGATCCAGTGACAGCATCAAAGCCGGTTGCATAAATGATGACGTCGAATTCAAGGTCCTCTGTTCTCGTCCGAATGCCTTTTTCTGTTATTCTCTCAATCGGATCTTCAGTCAAGTCCACAAGTCGAACGTTTGATAGATTGAAAGCTTCATAGTAGCCACTCTCCAAGGGTACTCGACGGGTTCCAAAGCCATGATTTCTCGGTATCAACTTTTCAGCTACCTTTGGATCGTCGACGCGTTGACGAATCTTGTTTGCTATGAAGTCGCTGTAAAGTTTGTTGGCTTCTTGGTTGGTATAGATATCACTTGAGATTCCCAGCACTTTAGCAAATCCAGGAAGTGCATAAAGCTCCTCCCAGCTGTTAGTGCGCTCTTCTTCCCCCATGTCAAAGACGCTTTTGGTGTCTCCAACATGAATGAAGCAAGAGTACGAGTCGAGGCATTGCCGAAAAATCTGCGGATATCGCCGGCGAATGTCCTTCATTTCTTCAGGAGTGATCGGGGTGTTCCTCAACGGGGCTGTCCAATTTGGGGTTCGTTGAAAGACGGTCAAAGAACCAACAGTCGTGACGATTTCCTGAATGGTCTGGATGGCTGTTGCTCCGGTACCGATGATGGCTACCCGCTTGCCTTGAAGACTGGCCTTTTCCTTAGGCCAACGAGCTGTGTGCCAGGCTTCTCCTTTGTAATCACCAACACCAGGGATATTGGGCAGCGTCGGCTCATTCAAAATACCCATCGCAGTTATCAGATAACGACTGGTGTAAGTCTTTCCAGTAGAGTCGACTAGTAGCCATGAGCTAGAGGATTGCTGAAAGTGGGCTGCTTGGATGCGCGTATTAAACTGCATGTCCTTCCTTAAGTCAAATTTGTTCGTAAGGTACTGAATGTAGCGAAGGGTCTCCGTTTGTGGCGCAAAGTGCTCTGTCCAATCCCATTCGTCAAGAACCTCCTGTGAAAACGAAAATATGTATGAGTAACTCTCAGAGTCAAACCGAGCTCCAGGGTATCGATTCCTGCGAGTCCGTTAGCGTGACAGCTACAATTCAACTTCAAAATAGAGCATACCAAAACCATGTCCCGCCTTCAGCTGAGCCAGCTTCAAGGGCCTTGACTCTCAACCCAAGCTCTCTGACCCTATGCAGTGAGAAGATGCCGCTTAATCCGCACCCAATAATCAAGACGTCATAATCCAGGCTCTCATTAGCGGTGTCGAATGTTGATGGACCAGAATTCCTGGCACAGGTCTCATGAACTTGCGACATTGCTTTGGTGAGGTGTGGACAGTGGACTGTTCATTAGCATCAGAAAAGACCAGCTGTCATGAATGCGTCTGAAAGAGTTATTTCATGCAGAAAGCTGGCGGATTATTATTACAATGATTCAGCCACGATGGAGAGTCTGCATTGGGAGCCAGTATTAAACTGCCAACGTACATGCCAAATTGCGGACTGGAGAGGGGGTGTGCGGGGTGCAGCTGGTTGCCGATTTTGACACGTAGAGGGCAAAAATTCGGTAAACCACATTGGCCTCGGCTTTCCTGAAAATGTCTATACCGGAAGGTTCAACATAGGCTACAGTGTAATAGAATGCACAAAGTCTGTTCATTAAGCTAGCTGCAACTACATGGCATGGTTTTACATATTCATGACAAAGACACGTCTGTTCGATGATCTTTTTGGTCTAGGGACTTCTTGAAAGCACAGCAATTTCTTCGAGTTTAAGAATCTGACAGTTTATGGCATGCTCAATTGCTAAATACCATCGCCATATTGATTATTTCAAAGTCCTTTCGATCTCCAATATGATTCGAGATCGCGGAGAAAAGCCCACCTTACTCTCTGCCCCCAGCCTTCAATCTTCCAATCATTGAGACTCGCCGGGAATTGAGGCACACAGTCCCGAACAGTGGAGTCATGTGCGACTATAACGAATACATTCTCGTTGCAATCTAGCGCTTGGAGATGTTCGACAGTTCTTTTGGCTTGCGGCAGGTTCAGTCCGAACGTTGCATCAAAAAGTGCATCAGTTTGCTGTCTTCCTCTGGATGTCTGGAGCTCTTCCCATGCGCTCCTGGGGCATAGCGAAGGCCTTTCTTGGGGTCTGCAAGGATGTGGTGATATTGAGTTAGGAATCGGCAGATATTTCGAAGGCCTGAATATTCCCGCATAATGACAAATGTCACCGCCGAGAAGTATGAAGGTATCTGGGGAGGTTCGAGCAAGGCCACATAAGTGCCCAACAGCATGTCCTGGGCTGTCCAGGACGTAAAAAGAGCCATCGCCAAAGTAATCAAAGGCCGGAAAACTCCCAATGCGGAGAATTTGGGACCCTTTGAAAGAGATCTCTCTTAACGTTCGACCGCTTGATGAAATTTCATCAGCCCATATAAGAATCAACTCTGAAATAGATAAACTTACACATAATCCATTTCAAGAATAGGAGATTCAGGATTTGCAGGAGCCCCGGGAAGCATTGCATCTTTAAATCCAGGCCCGACAATTAAGTCCGTAGTCACAGGAAAGGTTGACGGGTCGCCTATATGGTCCCAGTGCCAGTGGCTGTGTTGCTAGTCGTAAGTGTGGTGTTTTGGACACGAGGTAGCGTCAGTGCTCTGGGTATTTATTGCCTACCTCCATATAATTCCCTCTATATCGTGTGGTGGAACACCGTTCTCTCTAAGTATGTCCACGACGTTCTTTGTAATCTCAATCTTGTACCTTGTTGATGGTAAATAACTAGCAATGGATGGTGCATAGTTGCAGTAGTCTTTCCTAATCCCCAAGTCCCACATCAACTTGCGTCCTGAAGGGTGCTCTAGAAGGAAACATAGCGATGGCGATGTCTTGAACGTTTCAAGGCCTGGCACAGCGGGTGCCATGAAGCGTTTGATGATTGCCGGTCCAAAGTTGACTGGATTGATCATCTTCACTGCAACTGCAATGTTCCCCTGAGGCAACTGGACTGAGGACGACATGGTTCTGAGACAAAAAGCACCGATTCAAAGAGAATCTTCGGCTGAAACAGGTGACTCTCTAGCTGTGGTCTGTCAAAGGTTATTGTGAAAAAAGCTTCGTTGTCAATTGTGTCCTTGATATGAAGTGGTCGCATAATTCTGGATTGCGAGGAATGAAGCTCGCCTTGGGCGCTAGCTAGCAACCTCAACATTGCGGGGTGGTGGATGCGGGGACCGTCCGGCTACCCGCAAATGGCGCAAACGCCAGCTCCGCTCTGATCGTCTTCTCCTTTAGGATTGCCGGAACACTACGTTTTCACGAAGTACCAGACGACTTTCGACTCTTTGAGCCTAAGTGCCCCGGACCCATTCCACTAGGGAATGCCTCCCTGTGCCTGCATGCGTTCAACCATCCCAATTGACCAATTCAATCTCCCGACCCATCCTGCTCATAGAGAGAATTTGGGTAGCTCGGCTTCCCTACAGAAATCAAAGACGCTGGAAAGATGTGACTTCGTTCTACTCTACCTTTGTTAAAGCTCCAGATTTCTAATTTGTCTTGCTCTAGCTAGTTTTCAATTTGCATCAACCATGTCCGACGCTACCAAATCTGCTGAAAATGTCCAGCAAGTGGAGCGGCCTGAGGTCGCTACAGACCCGAAGCCAATTGCTGCAGTCGATACGCTTCACCACGACGAAGCGGTGAAAATTCTCGACAGATACACAGGCGACAGTGGTTGGGCGGAAACAGAGGAATCCAAGCTACGTCGTAAAGTAGACTGGAAACTTATGCCTGTCCTTTGTCTGACGTACGGTTTACAATATTACGACAAAGCAATGCTTTCCCAAGCGGTAAGTTTGTATCCACTTCAAAGCAGTTTCCCAATTAGCTAAAACCGTTCTTTGCAGGCTTTGTTTGGGCTTAGAACCGATTTAGACCTCACCATTAGCGATCGATATTCATGGTCCGCTTCTATCTTCTACCTCGGTTTCATTGCCGGCGCCTATCCTGCCATGATCTTAGCACAGAAGTTTCCAGTGGAAAAGGTCGCCTCAGTCATAGTCACTCTTTGGGGCCTGTGCCTCATCTTGACTACATCATGCTCAGACTACCGTGGCTTGTACGTTCAGCGATTTTGCCTTGGTTTGCTGGAGTCTGGGATCTCCCCTATGTTCATGCTGATCGTTGGGAGCTTTTACAAGAAGAATGAACAGGCAATGCGCATGGGGTAAGCAAACTACGGAAGTGCGGGCAATGATCATCTTTGAATAACTAATCTAGTGAATAGCATTTGGTACAGTTGTACTGGATACGTTTCCATCTTCTCTCCTCTTATCAACTATGGATTCGGCAAGCTTAACGGAGGCGTCTCTTCTTGGAGATACATGTTTTACTTTGCTGGCTCGCTGACTATTACCTGGGGTCTTCTTCTCTACTTCCTCCTACCTGCCGACCCCATTAGAGCCAAAGGCTTTAACGAAAGAGAGCGTTACATACTTGTTGCCCGCCTCAGGAGTAATAACTCTGGTGTGCGAAACACCCACTACAAGATGGATCAAGTTGGGGAGCTCGCGCTAGATATGAAGTTCTGGCTTGTATTTGCGGTGGCATTTCTTTGCATGGTTGCAAATGGTCCTATATCGACTTTTGTCCCCATCATCATCAACGGCTTCGGATTCAGTACTCTTAATTCGCTCCTGCTTACCATGCCTGCAGGTGCATATGGAGGTACGGTGCAACTGGTTATGCCATACGTTGCATACAAATTCAAGAATTGTCGGACATGGGTTATCTTTGGGGCACAACTAGGGACCACATTGGCAGCTATTCTACTCTGGCTTCTACCCAGATCAGCCAAGGGTGGTTTGCTGTTTGCTGCATATATATTGCCGTCTGTTGGAGGTGGCTATGCGGTGCTCATGGGTCTTCAAATCGCCAATACAGCCGGCTACACCAAGCGTTCCATTGCCTCATCTGGATTGTATATTGGGTACTGTCTAGGTAAGAGTGCAGTTGGAACTTAATTCACTTGTATTGCTCATATTAGTCACAGGTAACTTCGTTGGTCCGCTGGTCTTCCGGAAGCAAGATGCACCGGAGTATGCCTTCGGTTTTATTGTGGTTGTCATCACGTCCCTAGCCGCAGGTATTCTTTGTCTGGTTTATCGCTTCTTTTGTGTGTGGCAGAACAAGCGGCGAGACCGGGCTGGCACTATGGAGGGGTTCGATCACGCCTATGACGATGACCTGACAGACATTAAGGTTGGTAAACCTCCTCTCTGCGGGTGCATTGTACACTGACCGGCAAGTAGAATCCACAGTTCCGATATATTCTCTGAAGTGACTCAGACGGATTAGAAGGCTCAACACAGATTACTTCTACAATCATAAGATGCATGCGGCTTCTAGAATATGCAATTTAGAACTAAGCAATCTTACTTATGTTTTATGATCTGGCTCTCAGCTTGCCGAGTTAGTAGATTGAGATGAATGCTATGTAAGGTTATTCTTACGTCTAAAAGGGATTCTCAATATGCGCTGTGCATTATTTATGGGAGCATGAGTGTACTTTATCAAAGTTTGCAAACCATATTCAAAAGCAAGAGGCTCTATCCTTCTAACAATCGCCAATGCCCAGATCATCATTACGCTCCTATAAGCAATACAAAGGCATTTTTATTGCGCGAATTAATTTGTGTGTTGCTTGCAAGGCTTCTTAGTGCAGCATTCCAACCATCCCTACCGAAATCCCCAGTATCCGGCAAAACAGACCACCTACCCCGCCTCACACACATGGCGCACATACGTGCCCAGATTTATTTACCCCGCATTTCCTTGTTCCTCGCCTACGAATACATCCTTTCCTCCCCTCCCAATTGCAATACAACGGCATTCCGCCTTCCTATCATCATGCCTGTCATTTCCTACATCATTCTAACCGCCTTAATATCGCTGAAGACCAGAGAGTTTTAAACTACGTTTTTGCCCTGCGAGAAATCATCTCTACTGCCGTGAGTTTTCCTATTAATCATCTGAAGGATGCCGGACATAGTTAGCGAATGGCTCCCTTTTGATGCGACGCAACCAAAGCGACGACGCGCTGAGCTGGTTTGCATTATCTGCCACGAGAAAAAGGTCAAATGTGACCTCCAGGTCAGTGTGCATCACCTTAAGACCCGGGAAGCCCATTCTGATCTGTAGGTGCAGGCTAGAACATCGGAGGGGCACCAGAGCTGCACGAATTGTAATATATCTGAAAAGGACTGCTACTTACGGCCATCTAAACGCACGAAACGGCTACGTTCGAGACTCAGAAATAAACACGGACCAACACCTCCTGCCACGTCAGCATCTGGGGACGAGGGGATTACTTCAAATGCACATGCGATCACGGACAACATTCAAGTATTATCGGCAGACTTCAGTGAAACCATCCCTCCCACCCCGTCGGTCCCCACTCAGCCTCGCGGTCATTCTCAACATTCAGATCATCATCATACTGAGCCATCCCCGCATAGACACTCAGCATCCAATGTGAGGTCCCATGATGGACTCGCTGTGCTATCACCAACGCAAAGGTCTCCCAGCAGTGATACTCGAACGGAAGGGTTAGCAGAAAGTCATACTGGGGACATTGACACCGGATTTCTTCAGGTGTATGCACCTGAGAACCAATCCAATGCTCAAAAGCAGGCTCTCGAGGCATGCCTCGAACAGAGGTATAACTTCTCTAGCGCGCACGAGCAGGACCTACAAGAAAGCTTCGCAGAAACGTATTGGGAATACTGCTACTCGTGGTGTCCTGTTCTTGATCCCGAAACCCTCGCAAGCGATATTGCTCGCTCTCCATTACTTGCAAACGCTCTTGCAACTGCCTCCAGCAATATACAACCTCCTCTTGTTCCTCACGAGGGGCCTGCCGAGTATTATAAGAAGGCGAGGACTATTTTCTATGAGGACGAGGAGTCGGACGGCTTAACGACGCTGATGGCTTTGTCACTCTTCTACTGGTTTGCCCCAAAACCACCGAGTACAGTGCACCGACACTCATCCTGGTGGTGGACCTCCGTTATTATTCGTCATGCACAGCAAATGAACCTTCATCGAGAGCCGGCGTCTGAACATATTTCGGGCAGCAATCTAAAGCTAGGGCTTCGCCGGAGGATATGGTGGACTGCTTTTGTCAGTTTCTACGAACTTCTCGCAGGCTGAAGTGACTTGCTAACAAGTGATCACGCAGGCAAGGGAACGACTAACCGCCCTCTGCCAAAGCAAGCCGGCAATCATAGATCCGGATGACTGTAATATCGGAGAGCCATTGCTGTCCGATTTCCCCAGCGACCCTAATCACCAGCGAAAAGGAGAAATATTTATTCACTGGGTTCGCTTGTGTGTCATAATAGGCAAGGTCGCAAAAACTCTGTCTCGGTCATCAATTCCGACAGCAACTACTGCAACCCCAGATCAACACAGACAGGAACTTGTTGATTGGGTAAACTCTCTACCACCGCACCTACGGCTACCTATAGGATCGACTCACACCCACAAGTTTGACAGAGACGTACATCAACTTTACTTGCCTTATCTGACAACAGTCATTGTTCTCCACCTTAAACGTTCAGCCAATACCTTGCCCGAAGCATTGCCGCCGGCTATTCTGGCGGCATCGTGTATTGCCAGAATACTTCGAGACATCCTGTCTCGGGGCAACACGCGTTTCTTGATGGCAATCACTTGTTGGTACTGCGGGACAGCCTTCATACCGTTGTTACAAGCCTGCCGTGTCAGACATTTAGCTCAAGACGCAAACGAGTGTCTTGATATTCTTGAGCGTGCTGCAGATCAGCTCCAGCTCATGTGGGGCTCTGCAAATGTGATTAGACAAGGGTTCGAAAGATTGAGAAGCATGGCAAATACACCAGCCAGGGCTGGTGAGACCCTGGACCCCCCTTCAGCTACCAAACACTCTAGAAACTACGCAGAGAGTTTGTCTAGAGATGAAAACGATACTTTCGACTGGACGGCTTTGTTCCCGTTCGCCACAAGAGATACTGGTGGGATCGCCGACTGTCTATTGACCGGCAAAGAGCATGGGACTGCCGTAAGGGTATGTTCCTCGCCTGATGTTTTCATGTTTCACGAGACATTGGCCAATCAGTTTGGGGATCTTTTTGAATCTTTCATGGATTACCGCTTGGATTTCATGGTTCCGGGGTGAGACCCGAGCTATCAACATGAGCCGTGCAGTACAAATTGGATACATTGTCGATATCCACGCGCGAAACCTATCGTTCAGCTCATACTTCTAAGAAAACAATAAATGCAGTTGACCGAAATTGGCTTAATTTAATAAACCCTTCATGAGGCGCAAGCGTCCGGGACTTTGTCTGCCTTCTCCACATACCATGACAGATCGTTCTTGGAATCCATTTCCCACGCCGTGAAACCATTACCCATGAATCTAAATGGATTTGATGTGCGATAGCAAATGTTGAAGTCTTCGGCTCGAATGTCACTTAACATCCGGTTGAAGAGGTGAGCGCTACCTCCAAACAGTGCCGTGACTCGTCCATCGACGCGGTTCCTTTTGTACCAACTTTTGCATCCACCACTCCAAACAAGAGTTTTATGGACCTGATCACTGTACTTGATGAAAGCGTCCACAACTTCCTGCTTTGGCTCGACATACTTTATATCCTCAGTTGCCATTTTCTTGATCCACTTGACAAAGTAATCTCCAGTCCAGTTGAGAGACTCGACTAAGGAACCATGGCCGCCAAGACAATTGGGTCCCATCATCATGAAGTAGTTGGGATAGTCGGGGATAGCTACCGATATATACGAATCAGGGTCATCAGCCCATCTCGTAGCTAACTCCACCTTCTTCTTTCCAACAATCGGATACCTTGGGCGATGAGAAACGTCAAACCCAGTGGCACAGACGACTAACATCTTGTAAGCAACTTTTATAAATCGAGGGAAGGGAGACACTTACTGACGTCGCACTCATAGAGCTTGCCGTCAGCGGTATGGACACCCCTCTTGGAAATATTGGTGATAGGGCTGTTGGTAACATCGCAGTTGGGCTGTAAGAAAGACTCCAAGTAGCCGGGCCCAGGGGTGATTCGACGGCATCCCAATTCCCATTTGGGAATGAGCATATCGCAGAGCTTGGAATCATGATTGAGCTTCTCGGCCATTTGGGCAGCTGCCAATTTCGTTCCCTCCTGGTTATTTTTTCCCTTCATGAAGATGTGGAATGACTTATTCGTCCTTGAGATAATGCCTTTCCTGTGTTGAAGATGATAGTCGGGGTCCTGGAACATCTCTCTCTCAGCGTCTGTATACTTTGGGTTTGGGTCAGGATCGTCCCGACCGAGATGTTTTGATGGAGGAGCGCGGTAGTAAACCCAAGCCTGACCACGAATGAAGTTCACGACATCGGTTCCAGGTAGCTTTTGCATCTGCGGAACGATCTGAATTCCAGATGACCCATTGCCAATCACGGCAACTTTCCTGTTGGAATAGTCGTAGTCATGATCCCAAAGGGCAGAGTGTGTTATGTGGCCTTCAAAATCTCTCAGGCCAGGGATGTCTGGCCATGATTCATGCACTAAGACGCCTTGCGCAGAAATGAGAACATGGCAGTGCTCTTCGCGCTGTTTTCCTTCATGCTCTACGGTGACCTTCCACTGGCCTTTGGCTTCCTGCCATTGAGCGTCGATAACCCGCGTATTCAGCTGCAGGTCACGGTCAAGGTTCCATTTTCTCACAGTGCTCTTGATATATTCAAGGATTTCAGGCCCACTAGCGTAGAACCGACTCCAGTTCGGGTTGGGGTCAAAAGGAAATGCCTACACGAATGTTAACAATGTAGTAATTAGGGGGTAGAATGCAATGCCTCACGTAGATATGGGCCGGAACGTCACATTGGACGCCGGGATAGTTGTTCATTAACCAGGTTCCTCCGACCTCACTATGGGCCTCGAAAATAGTATGTTCGACAAGGTCTCGCATTTCCGGAAATCTGTGCTGAAACTTGTGGGCCATGAGAAGCCCCGAAAATCCAGCACCGATAGTGAAAACTTTCATCTTGTGCGGACTGTAGGCGAACTTAGAATCGAGATTGAATGGGTCCTCTGAGATGCCACTGAATTCGCTCATAGCAGCGCTTGGGAATACAGCGCCGTCATTGAGAACCTCTGGAAGCTCCGCGGATGGCATACGCGCAACGCCATCATTGATATGCGGCGTTGTGACAAGCCCTGGGTTGACCGCGGCTGTTGTAGGTGCCTGGACAGAGGCAGTCATGATGGGACAGGTTGACGTGAGAGTGTGTAAGTCTCCAGATTCGGATTCTAATCAAAGAATATCCCTGGGTAGGAGGCTGATATGCGAAGCAAGAGACTTAGTAAAGTCAACCTGGGCTAATTGTTATCTTTATGCTAATGAGGCAATGATGAAACTTTTGAGATGGAACAGCGAAGAAAATCGCCATTCAGCCCCACAATACACCAATACGTGCTGTAGCGTTTTATTACATAGCATTATTTCATTCAATTGTCGCCTACGGGGGAGGCCTAGCTATCGTCAAGAAAAGCAAAACGAGTTCAGTTGGCTGGACACTTTAGGGTTACCGGCATTGCAACCCAATCCGAAAGTTCGCTGAACCTGTGCACCGACCAGTCTACCTGCAGACTTTGAAAATCATAATCGGTTATCCCAAAATGGAATCCCAGCTGAAAGCCGGCTTCGGGCGGGGACAGCTCGGCTAACCCCGCTTACCTCCTATGATTCCGGGAAGAGTTGAGCCGAAGCTCACGAATGTGATGACGAGGCCGTATACAGAAGTGCCCGCATCACCGGAACTACTAGTTCGATCCCGCTGTAATACAACTAATAGTAGTTGATCGACTCGCGTGGAGTGGGAAGCTCTCGGTAGTGATCAACCTCACGATCTCTTAACTCACATTTCAACGGAATATTCAGCCATAACAATGCCTCTGCCACGATACACATACACCGGACCCACCGACCACACTATCATCCCTGACCGTAGCAGTGTCAAGGGTAAATCAGTCATCATCACCGGCGGTGCGAATGGCATGGGAGAGGCGTGCGTGCGTGCGTTTGTTGCAGCTGGTGCATTTGTTACATTTGGTGATGTTAACTTGAGGGGCGAGGTTATTGAAAAAGAGTTGAACGCTAATGCCGAATGTTCTGCTTTTGTGGAGTGCGACATCAGGGACTGGGACCAGCAAAAGCAATTGTTTGAAACGGCAAAGAGCCGAAGCCCTGAAAGGAGCATAGACATTGTGGTCGCTAATGCTGGGATCAGCCGGAGTTCTGGCGACAGTCTTTGGAACCTAGAAGATCCCAACGAACAGCCAACGAAGCCAGATCTCAATATCGTAAATGTCAATCTCATGGGGTCCTTGTACACGTGGAAGCTTGCAGTTCACTACTTCAGAAAGCAGCCAGATACCGAGGAGCGGGACAGATGCTTTATCATCACGGGCAGCATGGTGGGCTGGATAGACTCTCCCGGTAATTGGGAGTACACAGCAACAAAGTACGGGCTTCATGGCTTTATGAGAACCGCGAGACGCTCCAGCTGGGAACAAGGCATCAGAATCACCTACGTTGCCCCCTGCTGGATCAGAAGCGCGATTCGGACTGCCGACTATGAGAAGTGGTTGATCGATCACGGAGTCGAATTTGGCGAACAGGAAGACGTTGCAAACTGCATGATGAGAGTTGCCTGCGACAAAACTATCAACGGTAAGTGTCATTGGTCTTTTGAAGGTTTCCATCTCAGCTTCTAATAGCAGTAGGGTGTTCTTTAATGATTACTCCTCGATCGATTGCGAAAGAGGGTTTCATGGACATCGACCGGGATGACTACAAGGATGTTCCCGAGGACAGCTATCTGAAAAGACTTCAGGAGTCTCAGCTGATCATCATTGAAGACCAGTGGAGAGATGATTATAATATGAGAATCTACAAAGATTAAGGATCCACATGCCACGATCGAAAATCCGAATTTGAACTCTCTATTGGAAGCGAAGCAAGACCGACCGTAACATGACATCCTTAGATGTTATGTTTAAGAATGTATACAGCTACATTTTTTCTCAGGTTGTTCTCTAGAAGATATGCCAGCGCTTTACGTAAAGTTCTAGAGCCTACTACATGGTTAATGTTGGACGTAACGCTCCAGTCCTCAACGGGTGTTGCATCACGCTACTCCAAGTCTCCAATAAGCGCGTGGTTTGACGGTATCATAACATTATCACTAGAAGTTGCTTCTTGCCCATAGTCCACCTCTAAATTATCTATCCTCACATACATAAGTTTCCTCAAAACTAATTATGACCTTGATTTAGGAAAGGTTCAGAGATATATGCGTCTCAAACGTCTTTACGGACCTCTAGTCATCTTCATGACCTATCAACACACCCCAGGCGCTCTTGATCGCTGGATCTTTCAACCCCTTGGTTTCCCCCTTCAGTAGCCAGATATCATGATTCTTATGAGCATCTTCCCAGCCACTACGATCTTTATCCTTGTGCTCTACTCTAATATCACTGCCCATAGCTCCCCACATGCCCAACTTGTCACGATAGCGCCACTGGACGACTGGTGGAGGCCAAATGCTATACGCTCGTAGCTGATCACTCTTGATCATGTCGTTCATAATCACGTCGACCGGAAGGTTGAGGTCAAACCCACTTCGGAGCAAAAGTTTGGCGGCACCCCGAGCGCTCACAGCATACGCGCCGGTACAAGCCATGCCGCCAGCTCTGCGCAACATGCGACGGCCACCTTTGACACCCACTCCATGCCACTCTCCATGCTCTCCACTTGTGTATGGATCGTCGTATTTGACCTTCTCTGATTTCCACTGGTCGCCGTCAGCGCAGTGGCCAAAGGTAATCAAATCCCACATGTTGCTGTGCCACGGATCGACCTGAGCCTGTTCCTCGGAGCTTCGCGTCGGGTTGAGGCCAAGCAGCCCAGTTCCATTCAAAAGACCTGGCAAATGGGATGCTGCGAGGCGCATGACGTCTCTGATATGGATGTCCCAGGTAACGTCGTCTTCCATGATCAAGACAGTCTCCACGTCTGTGTGCAGCAGACCTCTCCATACCTAACAAATCACTTGTCAGCAGGTTTGGCATTGGTTTCATACGGCCAGGGGTTCGAACATTTGCGTGAGATCGCCAACATCCTTTTTCGCCAGCCGATAAAGCCTGGCCAGGTTCAGCATCGGGGATACTGCTGGGTGGTAGTCCAACTTCTCCTAGTCGACTTCCGTTGACCCCTTCAACGATCTGGATGTCAATATTCGATAGGAAACTTTGGACAGTGGCGGCATCGGCTTTATCTTGTCGAATTGGTAGACTGATCATCTGGATGGAGCCAAAGCCCAGAGTGCGGTTGGCTGCAGCGCTCACGGCGAGGACAATCGGCGGCTGCGATCCTGTTTTAGCGGCGGAGACGAGAATGATAACAAATACTGTCGCAAGAACTGCTAGCAATAAACGCCGGTTGCTGAATAAACGGGCGGGAACATGTTCTCTCATAATCTTGAAAATGTTGCGGTCGAGGAAGGCCGGTCTTTTCGATTCGTAGATAGGTCTGAGAGATGACTGTGACGCCGAAGACAAACGAGGAAGATCCTCAGACTCCTTCGAACCAGCCCACGGGCTTGCTCGAGACATTCTTACTTCGGTAGATCCGATCTTCACGTCTTCGGCTCGAAATTGTTGATGTTGTCAGTTCATGAGATGTGAGGGACCTTGCCAGGGTGCTTCCTGTTCGTATCAATGTGACCGGATAAAAGAGGAAACACAATCGAAAAAATCAGAAAGTAGAGAAATCTGCGTCTCAAGGCTTTCAGGGCACCGAGTCGACGTCTTGTCGCACGTAATCAATCTAGGTAACTAGCAAAGCCTGCCTTCCTATTTGCTAATAACGCGAAGAACCATGACAGGCCAAACAGACGGGCCAAACGGGAGGGTGCATAGGAGGTGTTGCGCATGTACTACATCCGTCAGGATAATTGGATCAGCTTCTTGGATTTCAGGCTAGTTACCCTTGAGGATCGTGTGCCCGACATGTCCCCCATCCTCAGCTGCAGAGACCTTCAATTTGCCCCAGGCCTGCATCGCCTCGTACCATGCGACGAAGCTGCTGTGGTCAGGTACGAGCAGGAGGCAGCGGCTAGAGCATTGCGTTCTGGACCCTTCGCAGGGGCAGTCTTTTGATATGTCACGCGTGGGTTTCGACAAGTTCGTGAAGCTTATCTTCGAATCTAAGCTGCGTGGATCCGCCCTATGTGATCGGGCAACGGCTGTGGATACGACGGCAGGGGTTGATGTTCTTGTAAAGTCTTCCGATTTGGTAGCTCTCGGAATCGAGCCGAATGCGGCTGCCTGCAGCACTGCCACAGAGGCCTTGTCTAGAACATTATCGGTAAAAGGCTGGGTAAAGAAAACCAAAAGCCTTGCCATTGCCATGGCATCCAAGCGAAGACCTCACATGCAGTCGTGGGGCCGATCACGTTACGGATACGTACCGCGTTTACAGTGATTGGTCGCAGCTGCCATGTAAGTAGACACGGATAAATGTACGATTTCTTTCATGGGACTGGAGCCAAGAGTGTGGTGGACAGCGGACAAGGTGCCTCTGGAATGGATGTCCAAAATGCAGCTACACACATAAGAGATCAATCATTAAGGTCTCCTGCTTTCTCCCATGTTACAAATCCATCGGACTGTTCTTTTAATGCAACGCAAAGCGAGTGCGCCAGCACACATGCAAATGGACTGTGCTTTACTGTCATGTCAGCCCCCACGGAGAACACGAGACCCTGCAACTTTTGACAGCAGATGTTCAAGTTGCCCCAGACCACTAAAAGGACCACGTGGGCCGCAGAGATTACCAAAAGTTCCCCGACACGAGCTCCGCCATCCGAAGGTGGTCAAGAACGACCGTGCTTATCCGCCGAGCGTCCACCATTTAAAGGGCTTAATTTCCAGATACCCTTCACGGTGAAATGCTGAGCACCGGTAACTCTTTAAGTGTTTTCCAAGGATAGAGTATTTTGCACGATGCGCTAGACGCATGGAATATGTATAGCATGAAGACTACCTAAATGAAAGCAGCTCCTGACGCTGCAGGCGCGCACCATTACAGGCGTATCAACAATCGCAAGACCACCGTGCTGAATCAAAGACTTAACTGCGTGCCTCGGCGTGGCCACCCGAAGTGCCGGGTTGCCGGCCCACCTTGGCGCCGCGCCGGGCGCCGCGCCGAGCGCCGGTCGGAGCGACCCTGTGGAAAAGTCGGCCACGCGTCATCCAAAGGGCCAAGTGCCATGATGAAGTCATCGTGGAGCAAAGCCTTTTCAAGCTGACGCGTTTCCGCACCAGTTTTGGCCATCGCCACGACACGTATAAGATGGACTGCAAAGAAACAGTATGATTTGATAGTGCGACAAGTAGTGTAAGTTTCTCCATAGCCTCAGTTCTCCTTGCAGTGCAATCAAGAAGACATTTCTGCCGAAACTTTTCGTTTGTTTATTCCGACGATCCATTTTTGTGCTGCCTGTCTCACGGTAGGAGATTACCAAGGTTTGACAACGAACGTGCGTCTGAAAATTTAAATCCTTGAGCAGTGCAATGGTAAGATTCGGTGCACTTTACAAAGATCACGTCTGACGTCGAGTCGCAGGCATACGGACGCGGAAGACGACTCGCAACCGGTGCGATCATCGGCATAGCGATTGCGGGGTTCATCTTGGTTGCTTTTTGCGTACTATGCTGCTATTGCTGCTGCTTCAGGAAGAAACGCCAAACGCGCCAGCAAACTGTCGGCGGCAGGACCAGCATGTTCTCGCGATTCACATCCGGAAAGGGCCGCGGCGGCGGCCCGCAGATGATGGAGTCTGGACACGGACAAGGCTACGGGCATGGGTATCACCATAATATTGCGCAACCCCAACCCGCATACAATTACCGATGACGAAGATTTTCAAGCCAATTGAGAGATGCCATTCCTGAGAATTAGGAGAGCAGCATCATCTGAATAACATTGACAGGAGGGAAAGTCTCAGCAATGGACAAGTAGGCTAGGCTTCACATGTAATCAACGGCGATCGTAATCAGGTCGGCCAGAGAAATTTTAGATGTATACTCAGATGAGTTACTTGATTTTACACTAGATACTACTCATATTCAGAAGATATGTGGCGTGAATGATCAAATATGCTCCGTTTCGTGGGCCTGCTTTTGCTCAACAGCTTCGACTCTGCGTTCGAGATCGTGAGTCTCGACGGTGCTGCGATCCATGATAGGAACAAAGAGAGGAGCTTCCGTGAAAAGGTATCTCATCTCCTCCAAAGGACGTTTCGCGGTCTCAGGGAGGAAGCACCAGAAGAAAACAGCGTTCGTAAAATTGCATACCTGCGGATAGCACAATCAGCTTCCTGTATTTAAAGTAGAGATTAGTTGCGTGGCTTACAATGAACAGAATGTACCACCGCCAGCCGATGCCGCTCTTGTCGTCTAGCGCCACCGAGGTGGTCTGCCCAATAAGAGTGTTGAAAGCAAAGGAGGTCATGGTAGCGATCGAGACACCCTTGGAACGAGTCTTCATGTCGAAGATCTCGGCAGGGATAATCCAAGAAAGGGGCCCACAAGTAGCACTGAAGCTGAAGTTGTACAGCCAGGTCATGGCAATGAATCCCCAGGCGGCACCTCCAGTAGCATGTTCAGAACCAGGGGGAAACTTGGCTAGTAGGATTGTGGCGATGATGAAGGTGATGCAATTGCCAAGATTACCGAAGATCAGAGGCCATCGGCGACCGGTCCTGTCGACAAGCATCATACAGAGGAACTGAGCGACGAGGGCAATGACAGATGATATGGCCTGGTAGCGGAGGGTCTCGTCACCGGCAATTCCAATCTTCTCGTAAATCGCGACCGAATAGTATTGGATCGCACTGGAGATCTGGTCAGCACTAAGCTTCCAGTGGCTGCTTAACTCGCGGAGAGACCTACCTGACACCAGTCATTTGAATCGATGCTTGAAGAGCGCAAGCTAGGAACAGGCGACGGAAGCAAGACTTGTCAGTAAACAGCTCCTTGTAAGATTTGGCTGATCCCTCATGCTCAGTGGCAATGGACTCTTGAATCTGGTCAAACTCGGCGCGGACCCAGGCATCGTTTACATCACCATGAGCGTGCAGCTTGGCCAAAGTCTGGAGACCTTCGTCCACACGGCCGTGATCGATGAGCCAACGAGGTGACTCGGGGAAGAATAAGATCAGCAGGGCCAAAATACCACCAGGGATACACTGGATGCCGAGACTGACGCGCCATTGGTTGTTATCCGTGGGTGCAAACCCGATGTACGTCCCGTATGAGATCCAAGCGGCAGCCAGAGCACCAACCCCAAGCATGAACTGTTGCAAAGCTGTGACTCGTCCACGGATACTGGGGTGGCAAAGCTCGGCCTGGTAGAGGGGAATGATCATGGTCAAGAAACCGATACTGTGAAGAGAACGGTCAGCAGTTGTATCGCATACGCTATAGCGGAATGTTGAACCCACCCGACACCAGCCAGAGCACGGCCAGCATAGAGATAACCGAGATTTTGGGCAGCGGCCTGGAAAGCACCGCCGAGAACGAAGATGGCACCACCGATGAGAATAGTCATCTTACGGCCGAGCTTATCACCGGCCGGACCGGCGCAGCCGGCGCCGATGAAAGCTCCTCCGGTGAAACATGACACAACGGCACCACTTGGACAATGTCAGCTCAAGTCATTTGAGAGAGTGGCTGTCGGAATGTCGCATACATTTCCTTAGGGTCCTCGCCGAATTTGGTCTTGAACGATTGCGAAGCAATTGCAGATGCAATAACACCTAGATCGTAACCGTAGTTGAGAGAACCGAGCGAGGCGAAGACGCTCACGAGGAATTGATACCACTTGGGGGGGAGAGCCATGTTGGGCTGGGTGCTGCCGAGCAGAGAAGAGCTGTTTCTGATCGCTTGCCGATGCCCGGAGGGCTTGTCCACGAGATGTCAGATTGAAAGATTTCTGGTCACGGCGGGGTACATTTGATGATCACAACCGAACCGACTCATCAAACGGCAACGAAACTTGCAGTTGAAGCCAGAGAAGGGATCGTCGCGTCTTTATAGGAAGTTCGAGTGACCGGATGGGAACATGGGGTCTGAAGCCGCGGTTTGCTTAGCGCAATCAACGGACGGGCAGGCGAGTGAGGACCCCTGGCTTTATTCGCGTTTCCACGCGCTGCCAACCCGTGGTGAGACCGCATCGGTGACGGTTGCCCCGGCCCTAGACCCCATGCCCCAGGTTGCGCTGGGATTTGGAGTCGCGCCAGTTTGCTGCTGTGGCGGCCGGTTCTCCAATCCCCACACATTTTTGGGCACGCGGCACGCGGGGAAAGTTGCCAGGATGAGGTTGTGGTATGGGTGCAACGGGCCTGTTGTTCGGTTCATCAAGACCGATAATGAACTCAGGTGCGTCTTTTCAACCATCCGACGCATCGATGGAAAGCCCAGTTTTGTGTGATGAATCTTTCTTTTATGACAACATAAGGCCCAATGCTTTGATGCCCTCATGTCTTGGGATTATGAAATTCTGTTGGTTTCAAGGTGTTCGCGAACGGGAAAGATTCTCGCGCCATCATTACTGATCCACAGAGTTTGCAGTTTCGTTCCCCATATTCGGATGTACAGATACACTCTACACACATAGCCTCATAGGGAGCTTTGCGAAGCAGAAGCATGCAAACCACTTCGGCAAAAGCTGCTGTTCTGCTTCTTCTCTTTTTTTTTTTTTTAATTTTTTTTTTTTTTTTTTTTTTTTTTGNTTTTTTTTTTTTTTTTTTTTTTTTTTTTTTTTTTTTTTTTTTTTTTTTTTTTTTTTTGGCGACAGGGCTGTCTGTCCACAAGAGATTGGAGGAGAATCAAGCTTCGTTAATGATGTTAGCTTCATGCCGTATGCGCCCCAATCACCACCCTGCGCCAGCCTGTCGAAACCCCACACTTGGCCCTCCCTCCCCAGCCTCCTCAATCGGCCCCCTCTCGACCGTTTCCGAGAAAGTCCTCTTTCTGTTGATAGCTTAATTCCATCACCCTTGGCACTTGGCATCCCATGCCCATCCGCCAAGTTAGGACGCGCGCCTGAAACGGGTTGTGACCTGATCGATTTTAGCAAATAACATTCGGCCGCAGTCATAATTCCCAGCTATAGAGGTAGCGGTCAAAAGTATTCACACATCAGGGGTCCCCTGCTAACGTGCGATTTTTAAGGGTTTTTAGGGTTTTAACTGTAGACGATCTTTTGCCTGATTTAGCGCTAACTTCAGTTAGTTAAAATGAGGATACCCTAACTAAAAATTAGCCTATACTATTATTTTTAACTATACTATTATTAGTAACTATACCTAAAGAAGAATACTACTGATGTTATAATACTAGTTAAGAAGAAGGAATAGGATATTAGTATATATATAGGGATCCTAACCCTATAGGGGTTAGGCTTAGTAACTATTACTGAGATATATAGGGACTTTAAGATATCTTAGTATATATTTAACTTAATATGCTAAAAAGCTATTAATTAAGGATAGATCTTAGGGGAGGCTGTCCTTAAGGTATATATTATTAACTCCCCTTAATATAGGCGCCTTCTAAAAATTATAGAAGACTTAGAGGTTTAAATTATTAATATTCTAACTAAAAACTTATTAATAAGGTAGTACTTAACGTAGCAGTTAGCTAACACAATCTACTACATATTTATTAAAGAGAATATAATTATTTTAAGGTTAACTATATATTAATATCTAAAGAGTAAAAGATTTCATAATATTAAACTAATAACTAAGCTAAGCTTTAATAATAAATAAAAGAGATAATGCCTTTAATAAGCCTTCTAGTATAGCTTTTAGACGATAGAAGACTAGAAGAAGGTTATATAGAGCGATAAGATAGCTATAGTATTAGAGTAGGTTTATAGGAAGTAGAGGGTATAGTATAGGCCTAACGAAACGTTTATTATATACTATATATAGTGTTAGTAGAAAGGTAAATATAAATTAATATTCTAAGTATACTTTTACTAATATAAGGTTAGACCTTATTATATTTAGCCCTTAGAGACTAAAGCATAAAAAGAGAGGTATTAGTATTAGATAGATTAATATAATAAACGCTATAAGGTAGTAGATTAAGTAAAATAGGAAGCTATAGAGGTTATAAGAGTATTATGCTTAAAAAGGAAGCTATTAAGGCCTAAGTAGTAGAAATATATAGTAGAGATAGGTACTATAGTATAAGGCTTAAAAAAAGGTAGTATTAACTAATATTAATATTAGTATAAAGTTTTAAGGCCTCTTTTTATTACTTTTATAAAGTAATAGTAATATACCTACTTATAAGAGGTTAAAATAATAGTATAAGAAGATAATACTACCCCTTACGCTTAGTATTAGAATTAAGAGCTTTAGGTAGTATTAGGTATAGAGTTATTACTATAGCTAGTAAACTCTTTAGATCTCTTAGTAATTAAGCTACTATAGGTATATCTTAAGTGTAAGAAGTGCCTTATAGGTATTATAAGCTATATAAGGCTAAGCTATATATAGAAGGAAAAATAGAAGAATTTCCCTATTAAAAAGCTATAGTATTTTATAGAGTATATTTAACAAAATATCTAATAAGTAATTAAGCTAAAGGGGGGTAATAAATATAAAGAGGGGGTATTACTACTACTACTAATAAGTAATAAGGAGAAGAAATTAAGGGAAGAGATTATAACCTTCTTAGTAGTAGAAGAGGAGGAATAGTTAGTTACTATTAATACTAGTAACTTATAGTAGGAGGTTATTAATAAGTTTAATAATCTTAACTTAAATTAAGAAGATAGTATAAGGTGGCGCTACTACGCTATA